TGGATGGATGGCGATTAAGTTGTAGATGCGTCTTTGACAGACCGTGTTTATTTGGGCCCTGAGCAATGCCACGGAGATAACGACCGCGGTAATTACCTCGGTTTCCGCCGCCTGACCTTAGGTCGTTTGGTCAAATTGTCATCGAATTTATCTCGCGAGCTTCAGCGGCGGCGGTCTGTCCCACTCAACTCAATTCAAGGAATTAGCTGGGCGATTTTTGAAAGTTCCCGCCACTCGGTTAGACATGTCTCGAGGTCAACTTTGCTTGTTGTGAAACAAACCCGAAACAAAAATTAAGTCTAGGCACAAAATATCATTCTGATACGAAATGAAAGATTTTTGGTCAATAGAGTATGCACTCATGAATGACGAATAAAATTAAACTTCTATGGATATTTTTCGTCATGAAATGAATTAGTGCGTGTTAACATTATTTGCCTGCAATAAGAAAACAATTTCACTAGGAACGATATTCACGTAATTTTATTCCGACAGTAATTCGTAATTTCAAGTCAATTTTCAGCTTCTGTGTCCTTCTCACAGAACTTGTATTAAAAAACTCACCAGAAAATGTCATTTTTTGATTCCATAAAAACTAAACAGTAATTTGAAAGTTTGTCGCGCCTTTTGATCGAAAAATGTCTACTTAATCCTGAGAGTTAGTCTAAAACGGAAAAATCCGATTTTTTTCCATCGATTTGAGCCAAGTGATTGATTGCCATAAAACTGATTTTTCCAAAATTTATCGGTTCATGTTTGAAACAAGATTCCACGGAGAGACTACGCAAATTGTTATCTTCTCATAAACAACCGTTAAAGTACCTAAACTTCCCTCGTTTTGCAAGCAACATTCCTTGAGTTTTGCATTGTGAGCGACAAAGAACGTGGGTAGATCACGTCACGAGAAGTTGAGAGAATCATGTTTTCCGAGAAAACCTGATCCTTGAATTTTCAAATTTGCATTGAGGAAAACCCATTAGGGAGTGCCACCCTCCAGAGGCCCCGGAGAAAAGTGAGGGGTCAACTGATGCTGGTTCAGCACTGTTCGAATGGGTGACATAACCAGTGGCGTGGCGTGCTTTGCGATGTATCGATTGTGATGCCATTTAAACCTGTGGAAAAGGATCGATAAACAGAGGGTGTTCGCAGCGAACACCTGAAGAATCGATTCTTTACCATTGGTTTGCATGGCATAACAATCGATAAATAGCAAAGCACGCCACGCCATTGGACATAACACATAACGTGAGATCAAATACCATGAGATTCTATGGCACTTAAATTGGTATTGTTGCTCACAACACATTTAATCAGATTCATGGAATGATGAAATTGTAGGAGGCGAAAAATTTTGCTTAGGTTTTGCCGAGGAACATCAAAAATGAAAATCATAATGCTGTTCTCAGATATTTTAAGCCCCCAAAACTTTGATTAACATATCACGCAAACATGTTGTAGCTTTTATAAGTTGCCGAATCATTCCGAAATAAAATGTTTATTTAAAGAGTTTACTTGAAGAAAAGTTACGTATAATTTTCTTGAAATTTTCAGAAACATTGCCTTAAAGCGGAACTACAATTCTTTGAACATTTCAAATAAAAAATTCACAAATTTCCGAAAAAATCTTACACTACCAGAAGTATTTTGGCAGCGTTCAAACGGCAGTATGTCCGCAAGATTTTCACGTTTACCGTGTCTTGACCGACGTAAAACTTGGAAAAACTTAAACTGTTTGAATTCATAATCGTATTATCTTTAATTTATGTGGTGTATAATGAAATAATTTATCTACCTTTACAAATATAAAATTATGATGAGGATGAGAAAAACTCGTTTTTTAAAACAAAAAAATAAAATAATATAATATGAGCAAGGGATATGAGGGTGATAATCACGCTAAACCCTTTACACGCCGTGAGTCAGTATACTTTTTTAACAGTACTTTTTTTACGTGTTTAACAGAGTAATTCGATAGGAATTTTTGACCGTGATCCAAATCCCTCGATCTAAAAAATCAGCAAGAATGCGCTCAGTTATTTTAATGCTCGATCGATGAGGTGCTTGCAGCTCTATTTATTCAGCAAACCGCTCCACTCTTCCTGACTTCTTTTCATGTATCGGTACTTTCATGTACACCGCCAAGGCTCTAACCTCTCTTGTTGAACATAATTTTTTTGTGGAACTTAAATTTGAAGGGTATTAATTAAATGGGTGATTATAAAAGGAGACGTATATGGCTACTTGAATCGGTGCAACTACTGGTGAGAATAAACAGAATATATAGATGAAAAAGGAGCAACAAGAACGCGACCGAGTTTTATGAAACACATCAAAGCTCAACTCCACAGACTAGAGTACCTATATTAAGAGAGTATGGCCACTGGTGTTACCACCTCTGATTGGCTCAGCCATCTTAGGCTATATGGAGCCCTTAGGACCCCAAAATGGCGGACGCCATAAGTTAATGTAATGCAAAATGACTCAAAATGTAGTTTTCTTTGCTTACCGTAGCGAGAAATTACCCAAATCCACTATTGCGACTTCTTTACATATTTTTACGGCTTATCGTGTGCAATTTTCGAGAAAAATTATCTTAGATGTAGTAAAGTTGACAGCAAGTGCGGTTGGTGATAACCGTCAAAAGTTGGCATCCTCAAAAACCAAAACAAAGCACCGTCATTTTTGGGTCCTAAGCCTCTCCATCGGACCCAGTGGCCATACTCTCTTACAATTAGTATAGGTACTCTACCACAGACAATAGGTATATTTTAGAAACCTTGCACTGCTGTCTTTCCAATAGTATAAAAGTAATTTTCGAAAGTTAACGCTGGTAATTGCCTACAGATGACTGACCATAAAAGAGTTGATAAGTTGGTTTGGCGATCCCAATCTAATTTGCAGAGGCTCGCCTAGTAAAGCTCTCATTCCAACATGCATATTTTTGCTAAGCAATTCGATCGTCGACCACCATTAGGGGGCAAATAGCGTTGACCTCCAAACTTAAGTGTTGCCCCTCTCGAATAAATTTATTAGATTGTTAGTATGGGGTTTCCAATTCGTTGATGGCGAAAGTGCAAAACCACTTACCTCCATTGCGGTGTTTCAGAATTTCCACTTCTATTTTATTTTTTCAAGGAGGAGCAAGTAAACTCTATACATCGAAATGTTTACAGAATATTCTGCAAACGAGGAAGGTAAATTAAAGAAGTTTTCAAGAAATTACGCTGGCTAGTTTTCCGAAAAAAAAAGCAAACTATGACGGGAAATCTGCAACGTCACAGACAGCGATACGTGGCTTCGCACTTCAGCCATCAAAACATTGTCTCTGCTAGACTCATTCGGCCGATCTCTCATTAAAGGCTTCCTTCTTCCCGTCATAAATCAATTCAACTTGTAAACATGTGTTATTGAATTGAAAATTAATACAGAGCACGAACCGATATTTTTAATGGCACGACCATTAAAACAATTAATGTCTCAGAATAATTACCGGTTCATTTTGCCGCACATGAAACCAGCATTGCGAGAGCCGATACGATAAAAGTTGCTAAATGCACGTTTAAATCATAGGATACCTACTTAAACGTTAAAAAAGAAAAAAAGAAACACGAGACAACTCCAACTTTCATGGATCGACAAGCGCGGCATCATTTTTGAGGTCTCACGCTTTTATGTGTTTTCTCCAAAACTTTAACTCATCATATTTACTTAATTTCGTTGCATAATGCACTTATCTGATCAGCTGATATAGTCGATGTTATTGGATAATTTTTTAATTATGTAATTAGAAACAAGTGTTTCGAAAGCCTCGCATGCAGTATGAAATTGTGATTAAGGGTCCTCTAGTAATTAAGTCAGGTACTTTGGGGAGGGGGGGGTATGTTTAGGATTGGTCGGCAATTCCTTTTCACGGAAAATTCGAGGGTAAGATGGGACCTAACATGAAGAGGGAGGGACAGCCTGAAAGAAACCAAAGAGTATTTCGATTTTTTTGCGTTTTTTGAGTTACCCACGGTCCTTTGGTCTTAAAAACCTATGAAAAGAAAATTCATATCACGTTCATCTAGAGTTTCATCACCTTTAATTCTGTGAACCAGCCATCATTTCGATAATTTGGAAAAACCAAGAGAAGAACGTAATTTTTCACCGGTTTTCCATTTTTTTGCAGTAGGACTGCGAGGATTTATCGGGAAACCAAAAATTCGGATTTTGCGTCAATAATTACACAGGGTTCAATTTGAAGCTTATTACACTTGAATTTTGCATCAACAAATCCCCTAATAGATACCGAGCCAATTCGTCATTTCCTTCTGGAAAAAATGTGACTGCTTTTTATGGTTGCCATATTTCCTCTTGCAAATCGCAATTTTATCTGAGGAATCTTAAGCATTTTCAACTGAAAATTTCACTGGTTTTTCATCTGACCTCATGCAAACAGCAGAAAAAAATCGAACAAAAATCGCTCAGGTGCACTCGTGTAAAAACTCGACTAATTTGAGTCAATTTTACAACCTTGGATTGGATTTACGTTCCTTCGTCCGGAAAACAACGAATTGTAGGATTTCTTAATGTTAACTAGACGTATTTATGCTAAAAGAAACTATGTTACGTGCAAATTCTATGCTTATAGTTCCTTTTAGCATAAAAATTGCCAATTCTTCACGGAAAAATTGGATTGCTAATTGTTTTGCTAAGTTTTGCACTCAGAGGGCTTAAATAATTGTTGAAATATATGTCCGACTTGTTTCAAATTTACATTTCACAATAACAGAAAGCTACTTTAACCACAAGGGTGGTTAATTTAGATATCATTTTTTAATCGTAAAATCCATATTGAAAGATGTCAGACACTCTATTTTACTACAAATTTGTCAAATCAGCAACATCCTTAATTTTTCCTGTATTTTACGAGTGTCGAAGACTCAGCCCGATGACCAACCCCAACATGTAGGACCATGAACTTTTTTTTAAAAAAAAAACCTCCAGGACTGGAGACTGACCTGCCGAAGAGCGTATCCTGAGGCGCCATGCTGACCCCGATAACCCGACACCTGCACTCAGATCACAATTGACACTGGGTTCGCACTTAACACTTGACACTCGGGCACTTAACCGCGCGGAGACATTGACACTGGGAGTGAGACGGACAGAGGAACCGCCGACCGGACCCGGGCGCGAATGAATGGCATGGGGCGTCCTCTTATTACATAAAGCTCGGCACTTGGCACTCCGCGTTACGTAAGCGCGTCCTGGAGCCACGGGCACGGGACTACCGCGGGATCGGTTCTGGACCTCGAGGATCGTGCATCGCGATAGTTGGGTCGCTGGGTGTCGCTCGGGTGCCGTGCCGTGGTGGTGGCGCCAAGGATAACCGGCTCCCAGAGCCCCGTCGCCCCCGACTTTCGGACGATCCTGTCCTTTTCTGCCGTCCTCAGGAAAAACCCCGTATGAGCCATCGAGCCGTGCCGAATTACCGCCGCCAAATCACCGGTAGAGAATTTGCAGGTGGCTGAAATTTGCAAAATTTCGTATTTCAGTGGAAACTACTGGGTGAACTGAACGCGAGGATACCCTTGGTTCATGAATTGAACAACTATTGACCGTATTCGATAACGGTTCGATGTATCGTTTGGTTCAAAACAAAAGAACATAACCTCAAACCAAACTGTAAGGATTTAAGTTGGAAAAGCTGAAAATGAGAAATATCCTGACAATTTCACTTTGCATTGGCATTTGGTACTCAAAAGAATAAAAAATCTGTTACAAAAGACCCGTTCTCTTAGATTTCTGAAGTTACTTTTGAGGCTATGTTTATGTTTTGAACCAATCGATATCGATACAATCTCACCCGTTTGATGTATCGTATACGATCTATTGGAGAGGATATGACAAAATGATCTAATCTGCTAAAATGCATGTTTTTAAATGAGAAATGCAGCCAGATGACGTCACAAGACTGTGCATTTTCTCACTTTTAAATCTATTTTTATGCCATTTCTCATATCAGAGAAAAATTATAAAAAATACCGTGAAATCAGCTCTTTAAGCACTTTCAGAAGGATCAATAAAAATTTTGCATGCAAAGTCTCCATTCCTAGGAAAATTTCTGAATATTCATTTTCCGGTTTTTTATTTCCTTCGTAATTTGATTTTAAATGTCTGAAAATGAAAATTAAAAATATCCATAACTTTCTTCCAAAATAAATACTTTCCAGGGGAAAATTTTGCAACATTCGAATGCTCATGCGACGTTTATACTTAGCGCGGCAGTTATCAGATTCCCCGGCGCTTTGTCGCCTTCGCCGAAATCGGGGGCCGAGCGCAAAAAACGGCCGATTTTTTTTTTGCGAACTTTGATAGTGAATTCAAGTTAATAAAGTGATTATTCATGTGAATTGCGGAAAGGCTAATCACCCCACGCAGTCGCTTTCATTTTTTTTTCACGTTTCTTCTCTTGCTCTCTTACCTCCGCAATGTTTGCAATATATTAGAGAAACGGTTATTTTTAAAAATAAACTTGTGTAAATAACTTCTTTCATTCTTATATCATCATTATTTTTTTTAAGAATGTACAAACTAAGAACTCTGCGCATGCGAAAGATACTATGCCACTACGGTCAGTCCAACTTCAGGGCGTGTTAATCCTACGTCTAATAGTACTACTACTACTACTACTACTACTACTACTACTACTACTACTACTACTACTACTACTACTACTACTACTACTACTACTACTACTACTACTACTACTACTACTACTACTACTATTACTGCTACGGATACCATTCATGTGTTCCAGATACGATTCTGGTGGCTGCCGACTTATTTTCAAAGAGGTCGCAGATTTTCAACACAAAAATTTGGTCACTTCAATTCGAAGATTTGGTCGATTTGATAAAGGGGAGATTAATTTTTTAAAAAAAAAAATAGCTTGTGTTACCTCGTGTTTTATATCCCATATATTAACACAAGGTTTTGGTTACTTTATCTCAGGCCTTGTCTCGACGGGACGTTTCATAGGATTTGTCCCAGGGAAAAATCTCACTTGCGAAGTTGGAAAAAATATTGAGATGGTCAATACTAATCACAGTATCAACTAAGAGTCCTCATGGAGTCCCAGAAACGACTTTAAAGAAAAATGAAGCGATTTTGTTGTGCTGTTTAGCGGGGAAAAAGCCCAGAAGTTTCATTCCTGCAAGTCGAACTTGGGAAAAAACCCGTGAAACGTTCCGTGGAGACAAGGCGTTACTGTGCACCACTCCGGCTGATTTTGTACCACTATAGTGACTAGAGGAAAAATTCAGTACTAGTCTTAATATGCACCAGATATCGTGTGAAATAAAAACTCAACCGTTATCCAGCCACAAATCTGTGTAGCACTGCAGATAATAAGAAAACCGACTCTGGGAAATTCGAATTACTTTTTGCCAAATCGTATGATTTTCAGTAAATCATCCACAACTCTAAGACTCACGTATAATTGAATAATTTACAGTATTTTATCCCTTCCATGCGAGAGGCCTCTTTTCCTTTCCTGTTTTAGATCCTCCCAGCCTCCGAATACTTGGCGCGCGCCTCCTGTGCTCAATCAATAATTATCGACTTAACGATCAATTGACGAGGCAGACCGATAGTATACTTATGTAACTGCTCTTGTAAGTAAGTTTGTATTGCACGCACTTAAAAGCTTACGCTTTCCCTCTCAAGCGTGATCTGAGAACCGGGCTACATTCTTTACTAGCAGCATCTCAGTCATGTAAAAACGCTGTGCTCATCAGCGATATCGACGCTGAAACTCCTAAACCACGTATCTCGCTTTGCGACTTTGCAGACCTCCTATCGTGTTTTATTTTTTGAATGAAAAACTACTCAACGGCTATTTTTCAAAAATGCCGTGCGTCTTCTTCTCTGTGTGACGAAAATTCTGTGAAAACTTCAAGGAATAATGTTAATTCGTCGCTTGGCTGACATAAGAGCGTAACTACACATTGAGATGAGCCCGGAAAAGCATTGAAATGTATGGCAGACAGGGTTCATTGCAGAGTGTAGTTACGCCTTTACGACAGGTAGGTGACGAATTCGCTCACATGTAAAAAAGTAAAATGGGAGCAGAGATTTTTACACATCGCAAACGAAATAAGTGGTTTGGAAGTTTCACCGTCGGTATACTCTGCAGAGAGGATAAATGCAACTTCAAGTTGAAGTTGAGAGTTGGGGCAAATGTAAACGGCTTTGTTACGTAAAGAGAAAAATTTCGGTTCACATTGAATTTCAAAGTTTTTCGGTTCAATCAACCAAAGATTTTGGTCGTGGGAACCAAACGGGTCTGAGAAAATGGACGTATACAGTTGCTTCTGAAATTGAAGATTCGATCGATCAAATTCTCCTCTCTTCATGAAATTGCCAATAATCATCCTAAAGACCAGAAGAAATTCGTCTTATAGTTAGGAATCGTCGGATTTTATTCATGACTTTGTAAAAAAGGCTTAGGACAAAACAGCAGCATGCGCTATTTTCTACAGGCTTGTCTGCTGAAGTTTTTTACACACAACAAACAAATTCTGAAAATACAAAATGCAGAAAAAGGTACCATGCTACTCAGGGTAGTAGTAAGCGCGGTTTTTTCGGCGGAGTAACGTGGGCTTACTGCTGTTCTGCTTGAAATAACGTGAATTTTAGCGTTTTTACTGTTTTCTCACAACTCGCCTCACCTTAATTTTTACAAATAAGATATTGCTGTTATAGCTGAACCCGTCAGTTTGCTAAAATCAGAATAGTCAAATCTTAAAGGAAATTTGAAACTTGAAACTTGAAACTTAATATGAGGAGGATCGAACGATTCACCCAGGTTCATGCACTGATTGCAATGACCGTGGGGTAGGCATTGGAAGTAAACAGCTTCGATGGAGGCGCGGCGCGGTGGATCAGAATATCAATAATGACGCATTGTTGATCCCGCTAAAGATACAGCAACATTGTTTCATAGTATTGAATACTAAATGATGACCATTCCAACTATGACACTCATTCCGCGATACTCTTGATCCCTCAGTTATCCAAAATGTGAAGATTAAGTCATCTACGTAAGTTGTGATGTACAAGACACGGTTCCAAGAGGAAGATTGTAGAATTTATTCGACGTTTTTCAATTTACTCCTTATCGATTGCAATCATGCATAGTATCATTCAAAGACAATACATGGATAGGTTGATCGAATCGATGACCGAATTCGCGTTGATCAAATCACATCAATCGGTTCATATTTTTATTTTTCGATCCATTCATGTCGATCGAAGCGACACAGTTTTTTTCAATAATTTGTCGATCGATTCACGTTTTTATTTGTCGATCGATTCACGTTCTTATTTTTCGATCGATTCATGTCGATCGATTCCATACCCTCCCTACCCTAGAAAGCCCTATCTAAACCGTGCAATATGCTGCATTTCCATGTTTTGTCGCGCTGCTTTAAATTTAAAAAAAGTAAAAATCGGCCTACAGGAGGCGTGGCCCCCTGGTACTTTTATTTCAAGGTTATTGTCAATTTCAAATCTCTGGCTAAGACCGTTTAGAGGATATTCATCCTCCTCGCAGAACTTCACAGCTTCCCCTGTCTGATAGTTGACGGTTTAATCCCATAGCTCACTAAGGACTGGAAGGATGCCACATCGACATCTTTTCGCGAGAAAAATAACATTGTATAACGATTGGACGTATTTCTATCGAGCAGATTTATGTGCAGGTGAGAAATATGAGGTGTGCTCGTCAGTTCTCTGCCCGCAAGAGTGAATGAGAATACTGCCGTGCTAAGGAAGAACGTTGCATGAACATTCGAGAGTTGCCAAATTTCCTTTGATAAAATTTTTATTTACAAGGAAAATTATGTATATTTTTCCTTGAAATTTTCAAGGACTTTACATCAAAATACAAAGAATATTCTCTGAAAAATTGGTAAAAAAATATTCATAAGCTTCCCAGGGAATTCGTGTTTTATGGAAGAACATTCGACAACGCCTGAAAGTTCATACAAGACCGGATTTACCTACTTGCCGCCCATGGGCCGCCAGTATTTTGCCGCCCTCTTCTCATTCACTTAGAAACATCAATAAAAACCATCAAGTGAACGTGCCAGAGGGAGAAGGGTGCATAAGACGTTCACTCGCGTTGGAAACATTTTTTGCGGAAGCCGTGTCAACACTACCAGCAAAAGTTCACGGAACTTCGCGCGAAAGCTTAGTTCCGTAAACCTATCTCTGTGGGAACAAGGCCTTTAATTTGTAAGAAATGAACTA